ATTTTAGACATCTCACTAGCCATTTGTTCCATAAGTTTTTTTTAGATCATTTCAGTATTAATGAGTTTGACGCCTCTGATCTRCTGTCTTATTTTGTTGTTGTATTTTTATAAACATCTTTTTTTTTGCACCCACCTAAAAAAATTTAAAAAATAAGAATTTAAAATCATTTACTCTGTTGTATTGAAACTATTTTACAACTTTATCCACACCAACATATTCAGCCAAAGTGGGGGATAAAGGTATTGAAGAGTTTCATCATAACTTTCAAGAATTACATCATTCCTTTCAAGAAAAAAAAAAAAAAGGCCTGAAGTCCAAAAAGATAGCAGGTTTATATAAAAATGACAAAAATGTTACTTTTCCACAMCAGGGGGCGCTGTTACAACCACGAACTTCAGTTGAGGACACCAAAAGGAGAACAGTGTGACGCAGCCAATAGGGGAAGGCCTTGTATACAAGTCTGCGCTCCCATTCATGCAACATTAGCAGCTTGCGCAGACATACACAGACGAGCCGCATCTTTCTTAAAATACCGAAAGAGCCGCTGCCGCCCACAACTGAAAGAAAAGAGATAAAAGCGTCGGTGAGTATTGTTTTTAAATAAATGTTATTTAAGCGYGTAGCTGCATTCCTTAAGCGTGCTCTTCCTGCCTTCTTCTCTGCTGCTTTTGGTGTCCAAATAGCTACATGGCTTTCAGGGAGGAGAGAGAGAGAAAAAAAAGACAAGTCAAAGGAAACCATGTGAAACATTTGTCCTCACCTGCCTCCACCACTAACACGTAGAAASCACTCTGCTGCCTTTCCTTATCGGTTTTCTTTTTGACAAACTATTGTTCAAATTCACAACCATGTCAAAACAAACGGGTCGTTCACATATTCTGTCAAACATGATATCATTGTTTTTGTATTGATATGAGGCAGAGTGTAAATATTACGCTCAGATTAATGTAGGCAAAAGTCCAATTAAAGGTCATTCGTTGGCCACAACTTGGCAACACACACCATAACTCTGTTATTAAGTAATGCTGTCATCCAGTAGTTACTGGCTCCTTTTACAGATCAGTTTATGTGTAATTGTGATTAATACAAACGCAACTGTGGAGTTTAAATGTGTTAAAATGTCACCTGGTGAAGGTCAGTGTAAACCTGGTCACCGTGTCCTTTCATTTCTGTATGAACTTGATCAAACCGCTCACACGGGAGATAAAGGGTTAATTTCCATTTTATAACAGGTGTTGGGGGTTCATACCTGTGCTGTGACCCCATTTCACGCTGACCACGTGGGCAGTGAGTGGATGTTTTATTCTGAAAATGTCTCTAATGGGCGATTMGTTTAGATTTGGTTCAATCAGGGCGCGAAAAATAAAGGAGCAGTTCGCACATTTTATTCAGCTGGGTGGGATTTTGCTTCCGCTTTGGCGCATAATAATAATAATAACAATAACTGATCGGCTGTCAGATGAGACGCAGAGGCGAGGTTTGCGCTTGCAGTTTTGTCAGTTTTTGCGGTGTTTCCAGGCGGCGCAGCGCGGCGACCTTTCCCCTAGTTTGTGCAGCACAGGGCGGATCATGTGATGCGGTGAGGAGCTGGGGGGAGGGGGACGGACCGGCTCACACTGCTCTGTGTGCAGGGATGCTGCTCCTTCAGGGCTGCAGGCGTGTCCTGCTTACAAAAACCACAAATTAAAAGATTCACTCTTGACGAAAAAAAAAAAAAACTTTGCGGAGAAACATAGATCAAGTCTCTTTTTTTGATCTGTCAAAACCGTGGGAACATCCTCTGCACCTCTAAAGCCTGCTCCCGTGTCTGTCTGTTAACAAAATATCTCACGAACCACTGAACGGATTTTAATGAAACTTGCTTAAAGTAATCATCGGATGTGCATTTACAGCTGATTAATTATTTGTGACAATTCGATTCAAGATGGCTGCCACAGCCAACATACCTTAAAAAGGACAAGACAGAGCATAACTCCGTGAATTTGACAGATTTTGAGCTTAAATTTGCTGTGGTAGTAGCTGCTAATCCCAAACACATATTCTACGTGCTAACAGATTGTTAATAGCCATTATGTGCTTGTGACTTGTTCAATCATTATTAAAGCGCATGCAAATAAAATGTAAGTTATTCGTTTGAACGTCAAATATTTTGACCCAAGGATATGGTTGTCACCTATAAATCTAATTTATCTTGTAAATATTAAAATACTTAGAGTATTGGTTCACCACGTGAGATTTGCAAATGTAAAATAAACGATACCTCTAAAGTGTCGTTTATGAAACATTTTCATTTTTCTAGTTAACTTTTTCACAGCTGCCTAACCTGTTTAACAATTAGTTACAGACTAAAACCAGGAGCCAGTTTAAGTAGCATAGTAATTAATATAATTACCTAAAAAACTTTGTGGACTTTGGGTAATCAAAGCAATAAAGAAGTGCAGACATGTTTTGTTTTATTAAAATTTTCATGGTGTATCTTTATATTTACTTGGCACTTAAAAAACTTTGTTTTATAGCAGTTATATGTCACGCCTCAGTTAAGAGGTTGTGCAGTTTATTTATTTATTTATTTATTTATTTTACTGAACTATTCATCGCATCACCTGGATATCCAGATTAGTTGTAATAGATGTAAAGGTGTCACTGGCCTTTTTAAATTCCTTCATTTGTTTTGGTATTTTTGTTTCCCTGAAGGGACTGCGCGTCAGTAGCCACCATGGCAGAAGCTCACCAGGCGGTGGCCTTTCAGTTCACAGTCACCCCTGATGGCATCGACCTACATTTGTGCCACGAAGCCCTACGGCAGGTCTACCTCTCTGGTCTCCACTCCTGGAAGAAAAGGTTCATCCGCTTTAAGGTAGGTCGTGTTCTGTGCACGAAAGGACAACGTCCACGTGCTTATCAGTTTAAAAAAATCTGCTGAGCTTCGGCAAAGTTTATATGATTTTTTTTCTCCCTCTTTGTTTCCTGCCACTAGTATTTCTTAGTAGTTACTGGTCTTTTTACTTTTTAGTAAATTTAAAGGCAGCAACAACCTTTAAAGAGCTCACGTTATCAGGGATGCCCCGAGCTGATGAAGGCACGTTTCATTGATCAGTATCAGAATAACTGGCAGCTCCTGGTCCGATACGATCTACAATTTCAGCCAAAATATGATGTAGGGTTGTAATTTACAGGCCTTGAAATTAAATCGCCTGGGTGTCAACTGAGTGGTCTGCGCCAGCATACTGTCAGTCCCGCGACACGGCATTGACGTGAAGGCTAAACAGTAGCAAAGCTGAATCACAACATGGAAAAAAATTAAASCCAGTGTGGAAGATTTCCACGGAGACAAAGCCAACATGAGTGTGTTTTCTGGAACATTTTTTGACGATGGTTCATAGATGATTTTAGCCAGTTAGCATCTTCTTTCTTTTAAAGCAGCAATATATGAAGCCTACGTTAAAAAGCAGTGTTCTGACACAAGGCATTTTCACAAGCCAGGACTGAGGAGCCTTCTGGCTGCTTTGATGGGATTTCTGGAATGGGCTGAGGTGGAATGATGGGTTGAAGCCAGCCCACTAGTGATGCATTATTTTGCTGCTGAGCAAGGTTGCAGCAGAGTTGACATTTAAAAAGGCAAACCGGCTTTGTGGTTCAACCACCTGGACACTTGATTTAAAAGTTTAACCAAAACAAAACAAAAAAAAGATAGATTGCATGTTGTTAAAAAATGCGTTAGTTACAAAAAGTATCTACTATGTTTCAAAATAATATTAAGGTGACGTCCTTTACACATTTCAATGCGGGTGAGTTCCACTCCACGCCTTTTTTTTTTGTCAGGACTTCATTGCTGAAAGCTCACATCTACGCGGGATGTTGTCGGTTCGATTAGTGATTCRTGAAGGCCAGAAGCAGCTTAAAGTTGGAATGGTTTTTGCAGCCAGTTCACAGAACTGTTTTGAAAAGTGCCTTTAGTTAGGCTCATATCTTCATGAGTCACAGAACATAACAGGAGTTGATCATTAGCTGAAGGAGTACAAGGAACAATTCCCAACAATGTGCTTACAAGGAAACACGTATCCACTTGTGGAACAAGAATCAAAATAAGTATCAAATTATGACTGGATCAGCTGATCCTTATTTTTTTTAAAAGACAGATTAGTTTTGGGGACAGAAACATCCCTACCTGTTTTTATTCAGTAATGTCTCTTCTGTAAATGTGTTCACTGAGTTGCATTAACATGCTCCCGGTTGAAGGTCACCCTCTCTCACACCAACTTTCCTGTGTATTCTTTATCTCCTGACTTTTGGCCTACTTGTTTTTTACACACMGTCATACTGAACCACGCAAACCCAAAGACCTGCCAGTGTTTTGTTTTAATGCCGTTCTTTTTTCTAGTGATGATAAACATCTGTCCTTTTCACCTCTGACCATGTGTTTATGGCATTGTTTTATAATGTCGGCTTCATTCACGCTGCTTTTGAATGTTGTTACAGAATGGGGTGATGACTGGTGTATACCCTGGCAGCCCGGCTGGCTTCATGATAGTGGTTGTGTCCTACATGTCGTACAATAAATATAAACAGCTGGATCCTTCTCTGGGGCTGATCGCCAAACTGGGTCAACACGTCCCCATCAGGTAGGACCTCTGATGTCTGTCAGTTACTGTCGAAGCACTTCATGAGTAAAGAAGTGTTACATGAAAGATCTGTAAAAAAAAATAAAAATAAAACCCAAATCAAAAAAATAAATTAAGATATATGCACACTGTATTAAAAGCAGGCTTTTGGGTAGGATTTTGGAGGAGGGAGTCAACACTTTAAGCCACACCCATACCCCGCTTACGAAGTTTTTACATTTTGTTGTGACCGACTATTTTACTCACTGTATATTCAAACTAATTGTTAGCATTATAGTATAAGAGGCTTTGAGTAGAGTTTGTTCAAAGCACTAATTTTTCAACTTAGACATCTTTAGTGTTGGGCAAACTTTCCATAGGTCGGCATCAGTTGTCTAAACCAGTGGTTCCCAAACATTTTAGACTTGTGTACCCCCTGAGCCATTTTGTCATACCACTAGTACCCCTCTGTCAAAACTATAATGTACAACAGCTGATTATTAAATGAAAAGTATTTATTWAACCCCCTCAGGCATTTATTCTTTTCAACTCAAAAAACATAAAGATAAATACATTGCCTTGAAAGAGAATAAGTAATTAAATAAATAAACCAGGTCWTGGCAGATGCAGGAAGCAGCAGCGTCCAAAATACATCAAATACCCCAAATGAGCAAATTCCATRAGATTCCGCGTCAATTTCGTGATTCCGTTTGCATTTTCCACATTGTAGAAATCACAATGCCCTACACATCTCAGTCCTATTTTTGTAAAAAAAAAAATTTACACACCTGGGAAATTTTTCCACGTACTCCCCTGCAGTATGCTTGCATACCCCAAGGGGTACTGTACCCCTGGTTGGGAATCACTGGTCTAAACCATTGTATGACAGGGTCTTTGCAAAGCTYATGAAAGGTTACAAAATTTCCGTAGGTAAAAAAAAGTTACCAACAGTCTGGAACCATAGACTGTGACAACAACACAACAGTTACTGAAGCTGTAAAATCACWACCCACTTTCTCTATCCAAGCCGGCGCAATTTATTCCCCGTGTCTTCCTTCGGCTTCTGAAAATAACCACTCTGCTTTACGAAGTTAACTGAAGTTTACGAAATTTAAGTAAAGTTATGGAAGGACTGGGAGTGGGGTTTGTGCGAACAACACACAACAGCAGATACTGAAGCTGTAACATCACTACCCTCCTCAATCCAAGCTGGTTCAATTTATTCTCTCTTCTTTTTTTGTCTTCATAAAATAATTGCGATCACCCCCTCCACCACTTACATAGTTTATGAAAAAGTGAAGGAAATTTACGGAAAGAATAAAAAAAACTCAGTGAGACGTCGCCAGCTGAAAGAGGACGACATAAAACCGAACAGGGTGTYGCACAGTAAGTCTGCCTTAGCGTTATTTGTTGTTTGTTTATTTCAAAGTTAAAATTCCTTTTATTACTTTTACTTAGCAGGTTGCATAAACAAAGTGAACTGTGTGTTGTAAACCAAAGGTTTGCTTTTGTAGTAAAAGAAGCTGGTTAGTAAATGGCAGGGCAGATATTATCTACAATTAAAGAAAGATAAATCTTGACAATAGTGTAGCATTCTGAGCGCTACACTTTGTTTTTTCCATCATCGCACCTCATTTTAATGTTTGCCAACGGCGTCGTTCAGGTGTGGTGATGTCGAGTGAACACTTTTTGTACCGGTGCTGCTTTATCAATACTGTCAGTTTGTACAATCAGTTTTCTGTTTATGGCAGAATTACTCTGAGCAATGTCCAAAATCTTTGATACTTTGTTGGTGTTTACGTCAAAAAATTGATGATAAAATTAATACTTYTGTTTTATTCATACCCAAAAGGCTGCACAAAGTTTAGGATTTAATCAGATGTGTTGTGTGTCAGCACGTGTGTGTGTGTGTGTGTTAAATAATGCAGTGGTTATCAGTCATAATGTAAGCTGTCTTTGTTGACTGTGGACTGGCCTGGTCTGGCAGCTGCTGTGCAGTTTTAATTGTCCAATGTTTCCACTGTGTTGGAGCACACTCAGATTGGGTATTTTTTCAACAAGCTTGAATTAATAGTCAGGCCTTTTTTTACTTTTAATACATTAACGTCTTATCTCCCTTTAATTTACACATAGGTTCAGTTTTAAATCTTGTGAAATTGACAACATTTTGTATCCATTTTTAATTTATTGTTTATTATTTGTTTTTTTTCCTCTGTCCGCAGCCGATATATGTCCACAGACAGCCAGAGGATAGTTGGAGGTGTTCTGGTGGGCACGGGCCTCTGGGTCACCATCATAATGATCATGAGGAACGTCCTAAAGAGCCTGCTGTCGTGGCACGGCTGGATGCAGTCTCGTCACGGCTCTCTTCCCTTGTCCACGCGCATGTGGCTGGTGAGACAATGACGATCGCTGTTCAACTTCCTGTGAAGCAAATAAGGAGCAGCCTTTTGTAGGAGTAATTTAAATAATGTAGTTTACGTTTAAGAGGAAAGCGTAACTCTTATCTGTCCAGATACTGGTGAAGATATTCTCTGGCAGGAAGCCWATGCTCTACAGTTTCCAGAACTCCCTGCCTCGACTACCCGTTCCCTCTGTCAAGGACACCTGCAAAAGGGTATTTTCACTYTCTCACTTCCTTGATTGAACAAATACTGAGCTATTTTGAAGTATTCCTGATAAGCCTAGCATTTGACTGAGGCTGTTATGTTTAAAAATAGAGCAGACATGGCAGTTCTAGAAAGATGAAAAGGTTTAAATGGCCCTGTATAGGCTGATCTACATTAAAAAGCTTTTTTTGCTCGCTGATTTTCTCTGTTTACAGTACCTTGAGTCGGTGCGCCCACTCATGGAGGATGAGAAGTTTGAAAGGATGACAGCTTTATCTAAAGACTTTGAGAAGAATCTGGGACCCAGACTACAGTGGTACCTCAAACTCAAGTCCTGGTGGGCATCCAACTATGTAAGTTGGAGTTTCAGCTCCTGTTCTGGGTATTAAATAAAACTCCAGATTGTTTAACATTTCTATCTGTTTCCATGTGTCTCTCCTTGTCTGGTGCAGGTTAGTGACTGGTGGGAAGAATATATTTACCTGAGAGGCCGCGGACCCATCATGGTCAACAGCAACTATTATGCCATGGTAAGCTGGTTTTTTAATTTATTTTTTGTTCGTTTGTTTTTTAGCAACAATAAATAATGACTTGATTCTGTTCTTTGTTTAAAAATGACACGAAGAGCCTCCCTGTGTCATTTTTTTTGTGAGCATTTTATAGCTCAGAGGAAAAAAAAGGTAGCAGAGTAGTAAACATTTCATTTATTAGGTCCAATTTTCAAATCTGTTTACTTTTGCAGCTGTTAATCGGACATTAAAATGCATCAACATGACCAAACCTTTTTTTAACAAAGCGCTGAAGCCATGACTGAGAGAAGTGTCCCTTTTTCCAACAAATTTTCACTGTATTTGTACATAGAAAGAAGCAAATGTTTTGCTTAAATTCTTAATGCCTTTTTTCTGTGAATTCTTTAAAAAAATCTATAAAGTGTCTGAAGAAAGTTCAAAGTCTGTGTTGATAGTGCAATCCAGCTAGAATTCCTCCTGTGAGTGTTTTCACATTGATCTGGTGTACGCTGATGACTAGAGATGGTGAAACGTGTGTGTTTGTGTGTGTGTGTTGAAAGAAAGTGGGGTGGGGGATTCACTGTAGTGCTGCGCACAGCTCTGAAGTGATGATTTCTTTTTCATTTTGGATATTAAAAATAAYAAATTGTTGCCAAAGACAACTTCTATAAGTGTTAAAACTGCAGGGGGAAACCCTGATTGTGACTCCTAATAGACCGCACGCAATCATCTAATGACCTAAAACAGCACAACTCTACATTTTGGGTCACTTAAGTCATAGACGTTCATATAACTTACAGGGTTCCCACGGGTCCTTGAAATCCTTGAAAGTTTGTGAATTTGAAAAAATGATTTCAAGGYCCTGGAAAGTTTGTGAAAACAGCCAAAAGTTACACTTGTCCTTTGTTGCGGTGATAATTCAGGATTACGGTAAACTGACGTCATTGTTTCTGACTCAACAACTTCTATGTTGCTCAGTTTTTCATTGAATTTACATGATATTAAAGCTGTTTGTTGGTAACATTCTGCGGCAGCAGTACGTAACTGCCGTTGCGCATGGTTTTTGAATTTGAGGAAATTGGTACTGTAAAGTCCTTGAAAGGTCCTTGAATCTGATGTTGACAACGGTGTGGGAACCCTCAACTTAATGCTCTTTTTTTCTTTAGAGTATRTCAAAAGTAAAGTGTACCTAAAAGTATGCAGCACATGTATCACAGATAAATCTGCCTCCATCAGTGATGATAAAATGATTAAAACGATAACATGTCTCTTACAACAGAGAGGAATTTGTTCATATGTGTGATCACATACTGATGCAACCATTATCTTCTCCACAGGACTTTTTGTACGTGTTCCCCACGTCCATCCAGGCTGCCCGGGCAGGTAATGCCAGTCATGCCATCATGCTGTACAGGAGAAAACTGGACCGAGCTCAGATCAAACCAGTGAGTATTGATCTCTTTGTTTTAGCTCCATACAATCCTCAAGCAGTAAGACAAATTCCATGATCACGTCAGTTCTGTGTAAATGTTTACCTGTCTTATTTGTTCAACGTTAGCTGTTATCTCTATGTGTTTGCCTTTTTACGTTCCCAATAAGAACTCCCAATCTTTCGCAATCTTTTCTTGTGTACTTTGAAGTAAGTTTGAAATCCACAATTAGTTGGCTTTGTCTCACTCTGACTTTGAAATGCACTCTGCTTTTTGCTTATCCTAATAAGTTGAGATTACCACCAACACTACTGTAAATGTTTACCTGTTATTTAGTAGCACTTATTAATGCTTTTGACTTTGTATTGTAATCCTTTCCTGCACCTTTTGTCAGTCTTTTGTCCACCTGCATGATGCTAAATGGTGTATTCTTCCAACATGTGCAAAGTAAACAGGATGTTGTGTAAACGCTGACCTAACTCTTGCCAAGGCTAGTTGTTTGCATCTATGCAAACTCCGAAATGCATGAGCTTGCTCTGTTCCTCGCTCACATTGGATTGTCTGTGTTTTACTGTTTTGTCCTTTTGCTGTGACGGACGCTGCGTTAGATATACTTGCTGGAGAACAAGGTACCTCTGTGTTCTGCTCAGTGGGAGCGAATGTTTAACACTTCCCGCATCCCTGGTGTGGAGACAGGTAAGAGGAGGGMACATCAGCCGCGCCCCACTGCCATGCCACCTTTTGAAACTGTGACTCCTGTACTCGATCCTGTCGGCACGACCCTGAAATTTGGCCGTAAGTTTAAATATCCTGGAAGTTTTCTACAATTTAAACAAATCTGTTGTTGCGTCAGGGCTTTGCTGGTGGTATCGAGTAGGCAGCCTACTGGTTTCTGGACCCTGCTCGTTCCTCTTTCCCTCGCAGCTTCCTAAGGTCCTCCCTCCTCCCTTAARACTGCTCATTAAACCAGTTTTCATCAGCCCTGCTCCGCTTCATCCATGCTCTGCCCTGTATAGTTGTGTGTCTGCTGCTGCTCTCTGGGGATTTTAGTGAATTACTTTGTCATCTGTGTTTGACTCTCCCCTTTTGCTTTTCAGCTCATGTTCCTACACACTATTCCCATGTGCTCAGCCCAATACGAGCGTATGTTCAACACGACTCGTGTCCCAGGTGTAGAGACAGGTAGAGTCTTTAGCAGTGCCGCCTCCTCCACACTACTCCTGCTGTACTTCTCCTCAGGACATGTGTCTATCTGTATCGTTTAAAAAAACAGCTAGACCTCCTTACGTTATTCATGCATGTGTGCATTAAAATGCACATCCTAGTATTAATTTGCATGAGACTAAACTCTAGTTTCTGCACTTTGGAGGACAAAAATATCAGATAAACTGTTGTGCTAACAAGAAAACATAAAATTTACGTATAATGGTAAAGATAATTATTTTTCCCCAAAAAAAMCTTTTAATTGTGCTTGAAAATTTATTTTAGGTGCTATTTAGTAGAGCAAAATTATTTTATTAGGTGAGGAAAAACTAACATGTTTTAAAAWATATATAAATTATGCAAATTTTATGCTTAATCATTGGGCCCCATGCAAGAACATGTTCGTATTCTTATCCTAAATTTCTCTTACTTTTTTTCGTACAAAGGGTTCGTACGAACATGCCACGTCAGATTCAACAAAGTCTTCTATCTTCAGGAAAAGTGTGTAAATGAGGAGTGTAAACCGATGAATGCATATCAGCTGCTCGTGCATGAGGAGAGGAGATTTGCATAATCTACCACCCTAAAAACACCAAATAAGGCTACGTTTCCAACCCCAGATACCAGGAAGTGTCCATTCATAAATGACATTGCAAAGTAAAAAAAGAAGAACTTTACGAGTTCGGAGATTGAAGCCCTGCTCTCAGAGATCCAGAAAAAGAAATCTGTCATTTTTAGCAGCATCAGACCTGCTAAAGCCAAGTAATGAAACGACTGCTGTAAATGTCGTGTCTCCTGTGGGTCGTACAGTCACAGAAATAAAAATCTAAATCATATTCATCTCTCTCTCTAGTCCTGCTTCGGTTTTCCTTTGGTCAAAAATTTTAATGTAAATGTAAACACCTGTGTTACATAGTTTTCATTTATTCAGAAGAAGAGCAGTCACGCACAAACAGAATAGCATATTTTCAACATAATTATGGAGTGTAATTTATTTTCATCTCTAAATATCTTCAAACTAATGAAATATAAAGTTATTAATGAAGAAAATCCGTCTGAACAACAGCAGACTGACTGCATGTAAAATATGCGACAGGTCTGGACCACTCGTGAATTTTGTTCATATCTGAAAAAAATCTTAGAAAATGAGAAAATTGGTGAATGCCACAAATTCTCCTAAATCACTCGTACACACAACTTAAGAACAAATCTGTGCGTACGAACGCTTCTTGCATGAAGCCCATTGTTCCCAAATCAAGACTTGGACCAGTTCAAATTAGAGATGTTGAAGTTGGTGAGTTGTGGTCAGGTTGGTAAAAACAATAACCAGTGAGCAGCTTATTTCTATTTAAGTTCAAATATTTTTATTTTTCTTCTCGCAGCTGAAAAATGAGATCTATAGAATCTGATGCACAGGTTTTCASAAATGTCCTTACTGACCCAAAGCACAGTAGGCAGAGTATAATGTGGATGTGAGCTTATTGTTCCTATGGGTTCCTCCTGGGTTTAAATATCATCTTCCTATTTATTACTTTTAACTAGATCAATGTTTGTTTGAACACTGGGTAATCAAAACTTTTAGAGCTAAAACAAATGACTAGACAAACTGAATTGGTTTCTTTTTATGCGCTGCTCAAACAAACATTGCCTTTAGTTCATCGTATTCTCATTTGCCTCCTGTTCCCAAAATTATTTCCCTTTTTTTTTTTTTTTTTTTTTCATTTCACTTCCTGCACGTCCCATTTCAAGCTCCTTTTAGTTTTTGGAACTGGGTCACCCCTACCAGTACACACACATGCACACACACACCTGGAAATGTCACACAGTAATTTGTTGTTACAAAATTGATGTTACATTATAAACTGGTTGCTAACACTTCCAGTCTTTACAATGAAATAATGTGACATTTATTTTGAGTTTATGCCACAGATTGTTTTTCATAAAGATCATAGAAGCAATAACAAAAAATAAATCAGTTTTACATTGTAATAATGATTCTAAAATGAGTAATTCAAAGATACATTTGATGTGAAACATTTATAGAAAATGACTTCACTTTAAAATAAAGATACAATAAATATATTCCCATTTTCACCACCTGTCTCCCACTTGTATTTGTATTTCTGCTTTTCTCTCCCACCATTGGATTTTCTCATTTAGACTCAATCCAGCACGTGAATGAGAGCAAACACATCGTCGTGTACCATAAGGGCCGTTTCTTCAAGGTGTGGATGTTTTACGACGGACGGCTGCTCTTGCCACGGGAGATAGAGCAGCAGATGGAGCGGATCTTGGCCGATAAGTCTGAGCCGCTCCCCGGAGAGGAGAAACTAGCAGCACTTACTGCCGGAGAAAGGTGGGTGGATTTAGGAGAGGCCGCTCTGAGTCCAGCAGCAGGGCAAAGAGAYGCCGTCTGTGAGGAAACCTTTGTTACAATAAACTCTTATTTTTCAGTGAGGATTGTTCAGAGCTGGACTAAACAATGTTAAAAGATAGTAAAGAGGTGTCAGAATATTAAATCAAKTTGGCGTTGATATTATAAAAAAAGAGGCTTCCTTCTTTCTGTTATTAGTCTACTAAAAACTTAAAAGGCACAGTGTGTAGGACTTTGTCAATTCTTTTAGCCGAAATTGAGATAATCACTAATGACAATAATAAAAA